GATAGATAGATAGATAGATAGATAGATAGATAGATAGATAGATAGATCGATAGAATAAATAAATAAAAAACCAAAAGACACCCTTTAAGCCCACGATACACGTGTGCTTTATCCTTTACAAACTATCCAGAAATCCCATCTTTTCTTTCCCCCCTTTGGGAGCTGAACCATTCCTCACCAGGGCCGGATAAACTGCGGCAGCATGGGGGCCACCTCCTGAGGACAGACGTAGCCCAGCCGCCCGATGGTGATCGCTGGAGGACAGAAATAAACCAGCACCACCGTCAGAGGTGTGTGTGAGGGGTCGTGCAAAAGCTGTAACAAAAAACACGGACTTACCGGTGTTCTCCAACAGGGTTTTGGGGGTGTTGGGCCGGTTGATGATCTCAACAAGCTGGTTCAGAACCATGGCGATGTAGGGCTGCATTTCCACTCCTGAGTGCAGAGAAAAAGTTAAAACCCCAGCATCTCGTGCTAAAAAACACATGCACACATGCACACGTACACACGGGCTGCTCCTGCTTACCCATCTGCATGCAGATTTCCCCGATGGCCCAGGTGGCATTGTTGCAGACCGAGATGAATTCTGGGTTCAGATTCGTTCCCAGGATGGGCATGAACTCAGCTGAGGGAGAAACACTCAGGGATCAGCTTTGAGAATAGTAATGGTAGAAATCTAACCATATTGATTTATGGGAATGGAAAGCTAAAGCTGAAAATGTGCCAATTATTTTATTTTTTTAAGTCTGAGGAAAGCTAAATCATTGGTATTAAAATGTGACGTCCAGCCCCCTCTGAGACGCTCACAGGAAAGTATGGCATCTTTTTCTGATCAGCCCACTAAAGGATGTGCAGCACATCTGTTTTCGGGCAGCTGTTGACCCCATCTGTACAGCCATAATGATTCAGTCTAACATGCCAGGTGTTTCTAGAGAACAACCAAAGGCGGGTGATAGAAAAGCTGGACTATAAATAAAATATCTAAATGTAAAGTGGTAACATAAAAATAAAATAAAAACACAGTTAAAAGTCAAAAAGTGCCCATTTTGTGTTACTTTCCCTGTGTTTAAGGGTCCATCATTGCCATACGTTTCTTTTTTCAAATTTGCTCATAAATAGCATTTAGCGGCTACAATAGTTGGTATTTATAGATTCTGCCCACATACCATTTCAACAAACTAATGCCATCCGGTTTAAAAAAGGGGGGAAAAAGCACAAAGCAAGTTCTTAGATAGTTTTAGAGTTGAGCTAGCTCTATTTAAATTATCACTACGGTGGTCAGACATGTGATTCACACCATCAGATTGAGGGTGAAAACAGGAGAAGGGATGGTTACCGATGCATGGTTTGACATGTGGGAAACACGCCTTGGTCAAATCCCCCAGCAGGGCAAAGGAACTCTGCCTCACCTCTGGCATCGTATCCTGGGACAAAAGAGACAGAAAAACCAGAGAGAATGTGAACACAAACCAGCAGCAGACCGGAGGAACTGGACAGGATCAACACACCAGCCGTTTCCTCTTTTTTCCCCCAAACATATGACAAACAATGTGACAAACTGAGGCACACTTTGTCGAAATAAAGCCATCTTGTTCACCTGTTCAACCCTCAAAAAGGTTCTCAGTAATAAAAACTAACCAATCAGGGTGAAGTGGACAAACACCACAAACGGGAATTGCTATAAAAAAAAATTCTTACCCACCTTACCACCCCTAACTCTAACATTCCTCTCATTCTGCACAGTTTTATTCATTCCATTTTTATTTAATTCATTTCTGATGTTTTTATTTATGATGTATTTATGACTTTGTATGCTTTCTTATGTTTCAATGTTTTAATGATGATCGTCTTTGTAAAGCGTCCTTGAGTTGAATGAAAGGCGCTTTTTAAAAATAAAATGTTCTATTATCATCATTATTATTAATGTTCAGACCAGCTGAAACTAAACAGACGCCACGACTAAAACCAAGTTAAAACGTACTGAAAGTATAAGCAGAATGGCTGGGTGTGTGTTTCTCCTGCCCCCCCCCCTCACCTGCATGCACTGGAACAGCAGCGTCATGATGTTGCTGCGGGCCACCAGCGTGTCCACGTGGCCGCCCAGGCCCTCGGCCAGCCCGCTCAGCAGGTCCAGGGCCACGATCATGAAGTCCTTATCCGGGGCCTCGTACTGGTCGGGCTGCTGGCTGTACATCTGCCACACAAAGACCAACGGCACCGGTCAGAGCGAGCAGTCTAGGGATGTACCGATACAGGTTTTTGGACCTCAGATCCGATCCCGGCCTATCAGAGCTTGTACTAAAGTTTAAAGTTATTTATCTACTTACTTAGTTGTCAGACTCATGTTGAACAGGGATTTACTCTGATAACAACTAGCAGCTGAATTATGGGAGTTTGAATAACACACACTGGTTGGTAAAGAGACACTGACCTGTTTATTCAGGGATAAACACAAAATAGACTAAATTATAAATAACTGAAATAAAGGAAAAGGCATCAGTGAACAGTAAAAAGTTAAAATAATATTGTAAACTGTATTAAAAAGGAAAAACACACAAACAACCTGAATAGAAAATAGTCTATTAACTCCGTTTTACATCCAGCTCTTCCTCTTTTTTGTCCTTAAGGATAAAATAATCCCACATAACTGACATTTTTAGCTTCAAATTAACATGGCCCTCTTATTGGTCAGGACACAGACCTGTGGGTCATGAGATGCTAATGCTAATGCTAATGCTTAAGGGTGTGCTGGAAAATGACCAGACCGGATATTAGGGGACAACGCAGCAAAGGGGAATGGATTATTTTAATCAGTGCTTCCCGGCCTATCAGAGCATGTACTAAAGTTTAAAGTTATTTATTCTACTTACTTAGTTGTCAGACTCATGTTGAACAGGAATTTACTCTTATAACAACTAAATGGTTAGGACACAGATCTGTGGGTTAGGAGATGCTAATGCTAATGCTAATGCTCGTGTGGGATCGGACTTTAATAAAAAAAAATGGATCTGAAGTCTGGATCTGCATTTTCTCCTGCCAGCCGATACGCAGTTTTTTGCAAATATCGGCGGCCGATTGGATCCAGATATCGGATCGGGACCAACCCGGGGGGGGGGGGGGCTCACCATGGCCTGGGCCAGCGTCTTCTGGACCAGGGTGACGCAGCGCTGGTAGACGGGCTCGCAATAGGGCAGGAAGCCGCTCTGCAGCGCCGTGGCGACGGAGGACAGGCACTCCAGCAGCGGGAACAGATCTTTGTCCTCGTCCTTCAGCTCGTTCCACTTGGCGATCAGCGGCGGCATCAGCTTCTGGATGTACTCCTGAAAACACCAGCCAGAGAAATCTGTCTGCCGTCCTTAAGACTGCAGGAAGCCAGGGACGGATATCCAACACCGCCCACATCCGAGTCGGCCATTTTGATTAGGTCGCCGATAGGAAGATCCCGGGCAAGAAAATCTTAATTGTTTATGGCAATATAGACATTCATTTAAAAATAGTAAAATTAATCTTGCAAACACTGAATTAAACTCTATAGATAATATTATGTTAAAATAGTGGATGTTAAATAGGTTTGTACAATAAGTCCAAACAAGTTTAACCAAATAATATTTATTTATCACCATTATGAAGGGTTAGGGTTAGGGTCAAGTTTAAGTTTAGGGTTAGGGTTAGGTTTAGGGTCAGGGTTAGGTTTAGGTTTAGGGTCAGGGTTAGATTAAGGGTTAGGGTCAGGGTTAGGTTTAGGGTTAGGACATCGTTTATTTTCCGATTTCATATAGACAGTAAAGTTTTGTTTCCACCTGAGAAATTTTGTAGTCACATGACCTAATCAAAATGGCCGACTTGGATGTGAGAGGAGTTGGATATCCAACCGAGGCTCCTACAGGCTGCAGCCAGAGGCTGCTCGGTGTGTGTGTGTGTATATGTGTGTGTATACGTGTGTGTGTGTGTATATGTGTGTGTATACGTGTGTGTGTGTGTATATATGTGTGTGTGTGTGTGTGTGTGTGTGTATATGTGTGTGTGTGTGTATATGTGTGTGTGTATATATGTGTGTGTATACGTGTGTGTGTGTGTGTATATGTGTGTGTGTATATATGTGTGTGTATACGTGTGTGTGTGTGTGTGTGTGTATATGTATGTCTGTGTATGTGTGTATATGTATGTGTGTGTATACGTGTGTGTGTGTGTGTGTGTGTATATGTATGTCTGTGTATGTGTGTATATGTATGTGTGTGTATATATGTATATATGTATATGTGTGTGTGTTCAGCTCACCGGCTGGTTGAGGTGGTGCCCCACGGAGTCGGCCAGCGTCCCGATGGCGTCGTAGAGGATGAGCAGGTTCTTGTGCTGGTACTTCCCGAAGGCGAACACCAGCGTGTCCAGGATGAAGCTCAGGTAGGGCACCAGCTCCGTGCA